GATTTTAGGAGCATGGAAACTAGTTCGTCGAACGCAACAGCCGACCTTGCAACCCAACCGCTGCACGGCGCCTCCGACCTCCCACTCGTCGCTTACGTCAGCCAAGCTGGTGCCCCTTCGGCTAGTAGGCCTGTTTCTCCTACTTGTCCTACTGTGCCTGGCCCCCCTCGTCCTCGGCCGAGGACTCGTGGATCAGTGCCTCAATGTGAGGTGCTTCATCTTGGTCCCATCTCTACGTCTTCCCGGAAGAGGAAGAAGGATTCTCTGGCTTCTCCTAGCTGGGACGACCTCCCCTTTGGTTCGGGATGACTGGCCCTCTGCTGGTAGTTGAGCTCGTAGCTGGCCCCAAAGATGGTCTTGATGTTCAGGGCACTGGGAATTTCGCCAGCATTTTGGCTTTTTATTCATTCTTCGAAATTCCCCATCCTCTGACTCGATTCCTCTCTTTGGTGCCATTCTATGGCTTTCTTTGGCTGAGTGGCCCCTTTGTACTTTTTGTTCTTTTTGTGTGCCCCCCTTTAGGTTTGTTTGGGGTGTTGGCTTCGTTTCTTCGTTCTTTTTTATAACCTTGGTTGGGCCCTCCCCCGTTGTTGGTTTTAGGGAGTTTGCCTTGTATCTTTTCTTCCTTTTTTTTCCTGTTGCTTAAATGCAATCCATATTTCAAGGAACCCAAAAACTTTGGGAGGTTCTTCATTTCTTGCCAAGTGTTTCTCTCACTAGAGTGTTTTAGTGTGAGAAGGTCTGGGGAATGGCGGGGGGAGACAGGCGGTCTCCTCCCCGCTCCGGCGGGGGCGGTGGTGAAGGATCGGGTGGTGGTGGCGAAAGGGATAGGAGGCGGTCGGGTGTTGGCTTAGGCAGCGGCAAAAGGTATGTGGAAGTTAAATCTGCGGCCAAGGCGGGCTCGGGGAAGTCGGCGAGTAAGGCTGCTGCGACTGCTAGGCCTTCGGGTGAAGAGGGCTGGCAAAGCCTCGGACTGTCCTGGCGTGGACCAGGAAAATTTGCGGGGAGGGCCAGCGGGCTCCAAACCGTTTAAAGGGAGCTTGGACGGTGTGGGGAAGTTGGCGCGAGAGGAGGAATTTCTGCCGACTGCTAAACCGACGGCCGAGGAGGATAATGCCGCAATGGATTTTGAGCTTGCCATGGATCGTGTGGCGGCTGCTGCTACTGCGGAGGCTGCGGCTGCAGCCCGACGTGCCATGGCCATTGAGCTGGCTTTTGATTGTGTGCGGAATGCTGAGGCGAACCTGCAGGTGGCGGGGACCGAAGTGATTATGCTGGATGGGGCATTGCCAGCCACGGAGCATCATGCGACGGGAGACCAGGCCGGTGATGCTGGTGGTGAAACCATGATGGGTATGGATGATGGTTTGAATAGAGGGGCGGAGCTGGAGTGCCCGGACCTAGGCGTGAACCTGCAGTTTGCCATGGGTGCGGTGATGGGAGACCCAACTAGCGCACACAAGGTGTTTGCAGGATTACCTCCTCAGGTTTGAAGACTCCGGTCTTTGGGAAAATGGCTGCTGCTGTTTCGACGGGGCCCCCACTTAATGCTTGGAAGAAGCTCGAGCACATTCGCATCACTGAGGAGGTTGCCCAGGGTGCTTTCTCGACTGACGGAGTTTCGGTCAATTTGCATATGGAGCTTGTTGAAAAACGCATCCATGCGTTGGATAATGCTGTTATGGGGAAGATTATAGGGAAAAGGTTACCATACTTTGTGCTTTGCACTGAAATCAAACGGCAATGGGGCCGCTTTGGCGAGTTTAATCTCTCGACGATCGGGACGGATTGCTTTGTCTGTAGCTTCAGTTCGGCGGAGGCGAGGGATGCGGTCCTTCGCGGAGGGCCTTGGTTTTTTAGTGGGAATATTGTCGGGCTGGATAGGTGGACCCCTAATTTTTCGTCGAACTCTATGGCAGGGCTGTCTCGCCGGTTCGGATTCGGTTGCCACAACTACCGCTGCAATATTGGGATCTCCATAATGTTATGCGAATTGCTTCGCAATTTGGAACACCCCTGTGGATTGATGCCAACACAGGTGAGGACGATCGACGGGAGTATGCCCGGGTGTGCGTGAGGCTTGATTTGGCCAGGCAGCTGTAGACGGGCACTTGGGTGAATGGTTGGCAGGGCCATTTCTACCAGAGGGTGGAATATGAAGGGCTCGGAATGTCGTGTTTTGGATGTGGTAGAATTGGCCACAAACAAGAGCAATGCCCCAACCGCAAGGATTCTCGGGTGGGTGGCATTGCGGGGACTCCGACCACTTCGTCCAAAGGAAAGGCCCCTGTGGAGGCTGGAACGTCTAGTGTGGCATCGACAAGCAAGCCGCGGGCCAATAGTGGCGAGGCTAATACGGAGGCTGGCTCACATTCTGGTGGATCGGGGTCGAATAGCCGCAGTAATTCCGTGGGAATACGGGGGGCTGCTAATGAGGCGACGGTGATAATGCCTGCTCCTCATAAATCAGGGGTGGCTGAGGTGGTTGAATTGCCAAGGGAGCTCACGGATGATGAGAAATTGTTTGGGGCATGGAATCTTGTTCCTCCTAGGAGGAGAAGTGCGGGACAAGTGAAACTGGGTCCCAAGATTGCGGAGGGCAAACCTCTCCGGGAGAATGTCACGCACCAGGTGGATCTCAAGGAGGTTGGAGATTTGTCCAACAACCGCAATAAAGAGAACCTTAAGCCGAGTTGGAGGAAGCTTGGACTTAAGGAACCCACCTTGTTCTCTGCTGGGACGGGTCGGGACAGGCCTCGGCTTGGGGCATCCAAGGCCCATTTCCAGAAAGAATTGCAGGCACTCGGTCCTATTGAGGCGGGACCCTGGAAACGCCGCAAGGAAGGCGATAGTGGTGTGAGCGGAGGGGACGCTTCCCCACTGGTTGATCAATGACTCACATCATCTTTTGGAATTTTCGGGGGGCTCGTAAGAAGAATACGAGCCAATACCTACGTCACCTCATTGCTAACAATGAGGTTCTTTTTGCGGGACTTATGGAAACTAAGATTGAGCAGATTGAACGTGCTGATATTGATCGTTTAGTTGGCCGTGGTTGGGATTTCTTCCACCAACCGACGGTGGGAAAATCGGGCGGCATTCTTGCTGTCTGGCGAAAGGAAATCGCTAAGTTCATGGTGATCCTAGCGGCAGATCAATGTATTTTGGGGCAACTTACTGTGGCCCGGCCACAATGTTAAAACATTGCCATAGTCTATGCAAACAAAGATCTTCATATTCGTAGAGGAATATGGCATTCCATCTGCTCAACGTTTGGAGGAGCCGGACCGACTATTGTCGGTGGCGACTTCAACTGTTGTCTGTCTCAAGAGGAGAAGAAAGGAGGCAAAGGCTTCAAGTTCTCGGCCGGAGTTCAAGATATGTTGGAGTTTATGAGCAATGCGGATCTCCACGATCTTGGTTACTCGGGGATGAAATACACCTGGTCTAATAATAAGGAGGGGAATAGCCGAATTTGGGTTTGGTTCGACCGGATTCTTATGGACTCGGAGGGATTGAGGATGGCTCCTTTTGCGACGGTCAAGCATTTGAACCGTCTTGCATCGGACCATTGTCCATTGCTTCTTAGGCTGGGCGGCGCTGACTCTCATTCTAACTTCAAGTGGATCCGCTTTGAAGATGTTTGGATGTCCTACTCGGCCTCATGGAAAGTTGTTGCGGATCAATGGCGGAAGGCCGACTTTGGTAATCCGGCTGATATTGTCAACAGGAAATGTAAGCGGACCCTGCGGGCCTTACTGTTTTGGAGCCGTAATCGGATTCGGGACTTGGGTGTTCAGAAAAAGGAGCTCGAGCAGAGGATTGCGGAGCTGCAGCGGGATGATTGCTCGGTGAATGGCCTTTGCCCCGAGCGTGAGATCGAGCTGCGCAACCTTATTGGTGAATTCAACGCCATCCTCTCTCGGATGACGACCTGGTGGGGCCAGCGGGCTAAAGTCCAGTGGATAGAGGACGAGGATGCGAACTCACACTTCTTCCATGCAGTGGCTACGGCCCGTCGCCGCTCCATTCGTGTTGAGGAGCTGAGACTCCCGAAAGGTGAGGTGGTTTCTGATGTTAATCATATTCAAAATGTGTTTTGGGACTTCTTTTCAGATGAATGGCGTGCTCGCACTACTAATTCTGACCGTTGGCCGAGATTTGAGCTGACGGATTGCCTTGATGAGGGCAGCCGGCCGCTTCTTGAGGCGGATGTTTCTGATGACGAGATCCAAAAGGCGGTGTTCAGCATGGGAAATAATCGGGCGCCTGGGATGGACGGTATCACCTCCTCTTTTCTCAAGTTTTATTGGGCATAAGAAGGAAAGTTGTCCTTCCCGTGCAGCAGCCGGTGTCTTGGTACCGGAGGGGGGCCAAGTTGGTGGGAACAATGGAAAGGCTCCTTTGGTTGGGGCCAACTCGTCCGCGGCATCCAATACCCCGAAGCCGGTGGGGGTGATCACACCGTGCCTCAGACCCAATCCGCCCAGTGTTAGCAACCTGTCTGGGAAAGGATCTTCGGGTGATGTGGGGCAGTCGTCCTCGGCATCCACCCCGACCAATGCTGCTGGTGAACTCAACCCCAAGATGGCAGAGCTTACGGATGACGAAAGATTATACGGGCCGTGGAACGTTGTTCCCCCGAGGAAGGGTCGGAAGCCTCAGAAGAAGGAGCAACCGGTGATTAAGTTCTCCTTGGGGGAGAATGTCCCTAAGCAAGTGGACCTTGCCAAAATCAAAGAACCCAAAATCCGTCGCATGAAGGAGAATTTCCACCCTAGTCGGGGTGAGAAAAAGCCTGGCCTCACGGAGCCGCTGTTATTCACGACGGGCACTAGATCATTGGAGTCTAGGCCGTCTAGACCCAAGCTTGGGGCGTCCAAGGCGCATTTTAAGAAGGCGCTACAGGCCTTGGGTTCGATTGAGGAGGCTCCTAGGAAGAGGAAAAATGATGGAATTACCAATTCCGGCGGCGGGGACGCGTCCGCTATTGTGGATTAATGTCTACTACAATGTTCTGGAATTGCAGGGGGGCTCGAAAAAAGCACACGAGCAACTACCTGCGTCACCTGGTTGGTGACAATGAGGTGCTTTTTGTTGGTCTGTTGGAGACCAAAATTGAGGTCTTTGCCAGAGCTGATGCGGACAAGCTTATTGGGTCGGGATGGGACTTCGTCCATCGCCCAGCGACCGATAGATCGAGGGGAATTCTTATTCTCTGGCAGAAGGACATTGTGATGTTTGACGTGCTGGAAGATAATGAACAAGTTGTGGTAGGCTCCCTTGCTCTACCCAACGGTCAGAAGTGGACGACGGCGGTTGTCTATGCGAATAAGGACCATCATGTCCGGAGGGACTTGTGGGATGCCATTGCTAGGCATGGGAGCCCTGACGTGCCGCTCCTAGTTGGGGGCGACTTTAGCTGCTGCCTTAGCCATGCTGACAAAAAAGGGGGGAAGAGATTCATCTTCTCAGCCGGCGCTCAAGAGATGAGTGAGTTTATGCTTAACCTGGATCTCCATATTTTTGGTTTTATCAGACCCCAATTTACTTGGTCCAATAACAAGGACGGCGTGAGCAGGATTTGGGTTCGCCTGGATCGTTGCCTCATGAATTCTGCGGGGTTGCTGCTGGCCCCGTTTGCCACGATTCGGCACATGGGGAGGGTTGCCTCTGACCATGCGCCGTTGCTTCTTTCCTTATCCCTTGGTGGGCAGCCTAAGTCCGAAAAATGGCTCCGATTCGAAGATGTTTGGACGACATTTCCCACATCCTGGCGGATTTTGTGGAAGGCTTGGTCTCGTAACGACTTTAGGACGCCTGCGGAGGTACTCAACCGTAAGTGCAGGAGGACGCTGCGTACCCTATTTCATTGGTGCCGCAATCGTGTTAGGGAGCTTACGGATAAGCAGACCCGAGCTGAATGTCGCATTCTGGAATTGTAAGCCGCTGAATGCTCTGTGGAGGGGCTGCGGGCCAAGCAGGCGATTGAGCTTCGCCGAGTGGTGGGTGAGCTCAATGATACCATGGTGCGGCTTACCATGTGGTGGCGACAAAGGGCAAAGGTTCGATGGATTGAGGATGGTGATGCAAACTCCCATTTTTTCCATACGGTTGCCTCCAGTCGGCGGAGGGACAACAGCATTCTCTGCACCTTGCGGGATGGAGGGGATATGGAGTACGACCCGGATCGAATCACTGCTGTGTTTATGGAGTTTTTCCGGGAGAAATGGAAGGATAGGAATGCTTCCCTACTGAATTGGCCGGTGTTCCAAGAGCATGACAAACTACTGGAACATCACCTTGAGGCGCTTACTGCGGAGGTTACTGATTCTGAAATCCGGGAGGCTATCAATGGCATGGGCAAAAACCGGGCGCCTGGGAAAGACGGGATTTCGGCCTCTTTTCTTAAGTTCTATTGGGACATCATTCACCGTGAGGTTTTGGATGGCATCCGGGATTTTTTTGTGACGAGCAACATGCATAGTAGCTGGAAGGAGACGCTCATTATTCTCATCCCTAAGGTGGAGGTGGCTAACTCCCCTTCCAAGTTTAGACCAATTAGCCTTTTCCAAACCCTTTATAAGGTGGCGGCAAGGATCTTGGTCAGTCGGATGAAGCCGTTGCTGGCCTCGGTTATTGGCGAGGAGCAAGGGGCCTTTGTGCCCAGCAGGTCCATCTCCAACCACGGGCTGATTGCACAAGAGATGATTTTCCATTTTCAACATTCAACCAAGGTGGCGGGTATTATGGCTCTTAAGTTTGATATGGAGCAGGCGTACGACTGCATGCCTTGGGACACCCTCCAACTTGTGATGAATTGTATGGGGTTCCCGGAGCGCTTCACTTCTTGGGTAATGCAATGTATTTCCTTCCCTAAATTTCAATTGATTATTAATGGGCACAGGACCGACTGGATCGAAGCTTTTAGCGGATTTCGGCAAGGATGTCCGCTCTCGCCGTACCTCTTCATCCTTTGCTCGGAACTCCTTTCCAAGGCCTTCAGGGAGCGTGGCGCCCCACTTGGCTTACGGATAACCCGGGACGACATCCTGGCCTTTGCCGAGGCTAGTACGGCTAATGCTAAATGTTTGAAAGGCCTGTTTAGCAGCTATTGCGCATGGACTGGACAGCGCATCAATTGCACTAAGTCTGCCGTTCTCTTCAATAAACGGTGCCCTCTTTGGAAGCAGCGTCGGATTACGGCCAACCTTGAGTTCCGCCGAGTTCAGTCGATTGAATACCTTGGGTTGCAGCTTTCCATGCGTAAGCTGGTGGCCTTGGATTTCCCTAAGGTTTTGAAGAATGTTGTGAGTAAAATTAACAGCTGGGACGTTGGCATCTGTCCCTTGCTGGTCGTGCGACCCTCATCCGCCCTTCCCTTCTCGCCACACCCATATATTTGATGACGAATACGATCCTTCCTAGAGGCATCGCTAGCTCGATTGAGCGGTTGGCTAGAGGTTTTTTGTGGCAAAAAGATGCTCGTAACAAGGGTATTCATTATGTGCGATGGGATGAGTTGTGCCGCCCATCTCTGCGGGTGGCCTTGGCTTTCACACGTTGGCGAAGTGGCAAGGGCCCCTTCGGGCCAGGCTTGCTTGGGAGATTCTCCGGAACAAATCCTCCCTATTGAGCAGATTAGTCGCCGCCAAATATGGGCGAAACCTGTGGGATTGCACTACCGGTCGTAACATCTCATTAACTTGGAAAGTTCTGCAGGATGGGGCACTGAACCTGCGCCCTATCATTCGTTGGAATATTGGGAATGGCAGCCTTGTGGATGTTTTGGAGGACACTTGGATTTCCAATTTGAACCTCATTAGGTGGCCTTCCTTTCTGGACACGGAGGCCCTTGCGGGACTGAAGGTGAGTGATTTTCTGGAAGATGACCTCAGCTGGGATTGGGACAAGTTGGCAGGTTGCTTTGGTATTGACCTTGCCCGACGCATTTCTGACATTCAGATCAACTCGGGCGGTGGCCGGAACTACCCCGAGTTGCTGCATTCCCCACTCCGCTCCACTATTATGGCCATGGCCTACTGCCACATTGCTGGAGCCGTGGACTACCAATTTGGCTGGTTTCGCAAGTTCAAACTGCACCCGCGAGAGAATTTTTTTTGTGGCGCTTGCTGCGGGGTGCCATCCCGACGATGTGCTGGCTCTATCGGAGATACCTGTCCTATGCTATGACTTGCCCGTGGGGCTGTGCTGAACCGGAAATTATTGAACATTCCACCATTCGCTGTATTACACTGAAGAATGCCCTTGCGGTGCTTGCAAAGTGGGGCTTTTCTATGTCGGGTTTCGGCTCCTGGGAGGAATTGCTGTCCGGTCTTCAAACTGCGGCTTCTCATAATGCTTCTTATGGTCGGATTCTTTGCTACACTGTTTATTAGGTTTGGCGTGCCCGCAATGATATGATCCATGGGAGGCCCTGCGGCACGCCTACGGTTATTGTGGCGACTGCTCTGGCTATGCTTCTGAGAACCTTTGCTATGCCCGTCCTGGAGCAATGGTGCACCCCTCAATTCACTGGATTGCCGTATGACAAACTTTGGTGTGCCCCCCCTCTGGGTTGGGTGAAATTTAATGTTGACGCCTCGGTCCGGCCCTCGAATGTGGCGGGACTTGGTGTTATTGCTCGGAACCATGAAGGCCGGCTTGTGGTGGCTAAGGGCGTTTGTGTGGAGAAGTGGGATGCTACTAATGCAGAGATATTGGAGGCTTGTGCTATTAAGGATACGACACTCGAGTGGATGCGGGATCTTGATGGTATCATCATTGAGGGGGATTGCAAGCCGACGATTAAACGACTCCAGACCATGTTCAATCGAAGATGCAAAGGCCACCTCCAGACGACGGGGCTGGACCTCACCTTCTTGCTTGACTTCAAGCAAGTTTTGTTTCATCTTACCCCAAGGGAGAGTAACAGGCCGGCGGATTATTGTGCTCATCTTGCTTGTTTTGGGAACCTTTTATGGCATGATACTAATGATTGTAATTTCCCTCCCTCGCTCTTGTCTCTTTTGAGGGAGGATAGTGAACTTGCCTAGGGTCCTTTCTTGTACTCTTGTTTTTATTATTTAATGCAAATGCAACTTTCAAGGAACCCAAAAATTTTGGAGGTTCTTCATTTCTTTCCACTCCTTTCTCTCACTAGAGTGTTTCCTAGAGAGAGAAGCTCTGGGCATGGCGGGGGGGGACAGGCGGTCTCCTCCCCGCTCCGGCGGGGGTGGCGATGGAGATGGTTCGGCAGGTGGTGGAGACAGGGATCGATGACGTTCTGGTGCCGGTTCTCAAGGAGGACGCAAGGGTGTGGAGCTCAAATCTCCGGCCAAGTCGGGCTTGGGGAAATCAGTGAATAAGGGAGGTGCGGCTGCTAAGTCCTCGGGTGAGGATGGTTCTGTGGGTGCGAAAGGTGGTAAGGCGGCTGCTGGCGCCGTGGTGGAGTCGGGTTACTCACGGGATGGCCTGGCTATGGCCATGTCGGTTGAGGAGAATTCTGACGGGATGGAACTGCTGGCTCGGGAGGCCTCTTTGCCGCATTTGGCTTGCCCTGCGGTGGAAGATGGGAGTGCGGCTATGGATTTTGAGCTGGCCATGGATCGTGTGGCGGCCGCGGCTAATGCTGAAGCGTCGGCTGCTGCAAGGAGGGCGATGGCCCTTGAGTTAGCAACTGATTGTGTGCGGATGGCTGAGGCGAGCCATCGGATTGGCGAGGAGGCAGTTTCCTGCCCGGATGGGGCTGACCAGGCCTCGAAAACACAGGTGATGGGGGTGCAAGCCGGAACGGCATATGGAGATGCCGACGTTTGTATGGACGGCGGGATGGTTAGTGGGACGATGCTGGAGAACCCAGGCCTAGGTGTGAACCTCCAGTTTTCGCTTGGCTGCGGTGGGGGAGCCTAGCTTTCACGCCCGGCAAGTGTTTGTAGAAATGCCGCTACAGGCCAGCGGCCTGCTGTCTTCGGTGGCCAGGCCAGCAACGTGAATCCTGGCCCTACGACTAGTGCTTGGAAGAGGCCCGAGCACATCCGGATCACCGAGGAGGTTGCGTAAGGGGCATTCTCTACGGATGGTGTCTCAGTCAACCTCCACATGGAGATGGTGGAGAAGCGTATCCACGCGCTTCACAATGCGGTTGTTGGGAAAATTATTGGCAAAAGAATTCCTTTCTTTGTCTTGAATGCCGAGATTAAACGGCAATGGGGCCGGTTTGGGGATTATAGTCTATCTACAATTGGGACTGATTGTTTTGTTTGCAAATTTAGCTTGGAAGAAGCTAGGGATGCTGTGCTCTGTGGGGGGCCTTGGTTTTTTAGCGGAAACATTATTGGGTTGGACCGTTGGACCCCTTCCTTCTCTCCCAATTCAATGACTGGGCTTTCATCACAAATTTGGATCCGCCTCCCGCAGCTCCCATTGCAGTATTGGGATCTACATAACGTGATGAGGATTGCCTCACAATTTGGCACGCCACTTTGGATTGATGCTCAGACCGGGATCGAAGGCAGACGGGAATATGCCCGGGTGTGTGTCCGACTTGATTTGGCCAAGCAACTCCAGACGGGAACCTGGGTGAATGGTTGGAAAGGCCGATTTTACCAAAGGGTGGAATACGAAGGGCTTGGTATGTCGTGTTTTGGCTGCGGTCATGTGGGCCACAAACAGGACCAGTGCCCCACCCGCAAGGTGGCTCGTGCTGGGAATACGGCAGGGTCGCCTGCGATGACCTCTAAGGGGAAGAATGTAATGGATGGAGGAGGGTCTAGTGTGGCTTCTACGAGCAGGCCAATGCGCAGTCCGGTGGAGGGCAATGTGGAGGCGTGCGTCTATGCCGCCAGGGGGTGCTGGCTCGAGCAACTGCACTGCGTCCATAGGGTCTCGGACGCTTGCGGATATGGAAGGTAATGCTACGCCTGCCCCTGTCTTGCCGGGGCTGGCAGGTGGGGTGGATCATACTCCGGAGCTTACGGAGGATGAGAAGATGTTCGGGGATTGGAATATTGTCCCCCCGCGTAAAAAGAAGGGAGGCCAGCCTAAACAGGCCACTGCTGCGATGGAGAGCAAGCCTTGAAGGCTGGGATGGGGAGGGACAGGCCGAGGCTCGGTGCGTCTAAGGCCCACTTCCAAAAGGAATTGAAGGCCCTTGGTCCTTTTGAGGAGGGGCCTAGGAAGCGACTCAAAGAAGGCGACGTTGGGGCGGGGACACTTCCACTTCGGTTGACCAATGACTCACATCATCATGTGGAATTGTAGGGGTGCCCGCAAGAAGAATACATGCAACTTCCTACGGCATCTCGTTGCTTGCAACGAGGTTGGTTTGGTGGGGTTAGTTGAAACCAAGGTTGAGAACATAAGTAGGCTGGAGGTGGATCGCCTTGTTGGTCGTGAGTGGGATTTCTACCACCACCCTGCGGTTGGTCGGTCTGGTGGTTTGTTACTGGCCTGACGGCGGGATATCCTAAAGGTTGAGGTGGCTGTGGCCACGGAACAGTGTGTGATCGGTCGGGTTGTGCTGCCCTCCCTTGTGCGGTGGAACGTGGCCCTTGTTTATGGGCATAAGGACTACCATGTGCGGCGGCAAATTTGGGAGACTTTAGGCTCGGTGCTTAGCCCGGATGTTCCCACTATTGCTGGTGGTGACTTCAATTGTTGTATCTCCCAAGGAGAAAAGAAAGGCGGTAAATGGTTTCGGCTCTCTGCCGGAGCCCAGGAAATGATGGCAGCTCTTAGTCATCTGGATCTTCATGATCTTGGATTCTCTGGACCAAGCTACACTTGGTCGAACAATAAGGAGGGCGCTAGCCGTATCTGGGTTCGGCTTGACCGCATCCTTATTAATTCGGATGGACTGAAGTTGGCACCTTTTGCGTCGGTTAAACTCCTTAACCGACTTGCCTCCGATCACTGCCCCTTGTTACTGCGGTTGGGACTGGAGCAGAGGCATCCCAGCCCCAAGTGGATCCGGTTCGAGGATGTCTGGACTAGCTTCCAAGCCTCGTGGAGGGTGGTTAGTAAAGCTTGGGGACGGCCGGATGTTGGGAACCCGGCGGAGGTTGTCAATTTGAAGTGTAGACGTACGCTGCGGGCTCTCCACTTTTGGAGTAAACATAAAATCCGTGATCTGGGGGTGAGGAAGAAGAAATTGGAGGAGCGCATTGATCAGTTGCAGTAGGATGATTGCTCAGTGCTGGGTCTCAACCCGGAGCAGGATGCGAAGCTTCGGGCGGCTGTTGCGGAGTTTAATTCCACTCTCGCCAGATTGTCGACGTGGTGGAGGAAATGGGCTAAGGTCCGCTGGATTGAAGAGGGGGATGAAAATTCCCATTTCTTCCATGCTGCGGCGACGGCTCGACGCCGTTCTAATCAGATTGAGGAAGTCCAAACTGCTGGAGGGGAACTGTCCCACGACCCGAGCACCATACACGATGTCTTTTGGCAGTTTTTCTTGGACAAATGGCGGGAGCGCAACACCTGTATGGATCGTTGGCCTGTCTTCCTGGAGGCGGACGGTATTTCGGTGCAGGCTCGTGCGATCCTTGAGGAGGACATCACGGATGAGGATATCCGCAAGGCTGTGTTTAGCCTTGGCAACAATCGGGCACCTGGCAACGATGGTATCACGACTTCCTTTCAAAAATTTTATTGGATTATTATTTGCAATGAAGTCTGTGCTGCACTGAAAGACTTCTTTAAGACCAGTTCCATGTGTGATGAGTGGAAAGACACGTTGGTGGTGCTTATTCCTAAAACCGCGACGGCCAAGACTCCGGCTCACTTCCGTCCGATTAGTCTGTGCCAGACCTTCTATAAGGTGGTGGCCAAGATTCTTGTCACTAGGCTTAAGCCTGTGCTGCCCGGGCTTATTGGAGAGGAACAAGGGGCTTTTGTTCCTGGTCGGTCCATCTCCAACCATTGTCTCCTCGCTCAGGAAATCATGTGAAAATTCCAACATTCTACCCTCCAGGCGGGGTTGGTGGCAGCTAAGGTGGACATGGAGTAGGCTTATGACTGCATGGCCTGGGACACCTTGTCTTGGGTTCTGTCAGCTATGGGCTTCTCCCCCAAGTTCATTGGTTGGGTTATTCAATGTACCACGCGGCCCCGGTTCTCATTGCTCTTGAATGGGAATCGGTCTGAGTGGATCTTCGCCTATAGTGGTTTTCGCCAGGGATGTCTGCTCTCATCCCCATCTTTTTATCCTGTGCTCTGAATTACTGACTAAGGCATTTCGCCAGAGGGGGGCGAATCAGAGGTGCAAATTATCCCCAAGGGGGAGCGGGTCTCGCACCTGCTTTATGCCGACGACATTCTTATCTTCGCCGAAGCTTCACATGCCAATGCTTGCAGGATTCTGGATGTCTTAGGTGATTACTGTATGTGGACGGGGCAGCACATTAATAACGCCAAATCTGCAGTTTTGTTTAGTAAGCGGTGCCCACGTTGGAAGGGGCGTCGCATTGCGAATACTATGGGGTTTCGGCTGGTTGCCTCTCTTGAATATCTTGGGCTACCTCTGACTCAACGCAAGCTTGTGGCCTCTGACTTTGACCGGATAATCCAAATTGCTACGGGGAAAGTTGATGTTTGGGGCAAAAGGCATCTTTCACTGGCCGGCCGTGCCACCCTGATCCGTTCGGCGTTGCTTGCTATTCCGCTCTACTGTATGACTTTGTCCGACGTGCCCCGTGGCGTACTGGCTACGGTGGACAAAATTGGGTGGACTTTCTTGTGGCACAAAGATAGTAACAGGAGGGGCCTCCATTATGTGGCCTGGAACGAGGTGTGTCGGCCTCAAGCACACGGTGGCTTGGGTTTTCATTCGGCCTTGTCTTGGCGGGCTCCTTTGCGAGCACGCTTAGCTTGGGATTTCATTAAGCACCCAATGGTACTGTTACACCGTTTGCTCCGGGCAAAATATGGGGATGACCCGTGGATGGTGCACACAGGTCGCAACACTTCTATATCTTAGAAGGCTATTCATGAAGGTGCGGTCGCTCTTTGGCCCATTATTCGGTGGCAGATTGGGGACGGGCGGCGTATTAACATCCTCCAGGACATCTGGATTCTCGATCGGCGGTTGGAATCGTGGCCGACAATGCTTAATCCTGAGGCTTTGCTGGATTGTAGAATTTGTGACTTGCTTAATGAGGACCGGGGGTGGGACCGTCCCAAAGTGCTGATGCACTTTGGTTGTGAGCTCGCCAACAAAATTTTGGACACCTCCATACGGGCTGAGGAAGGGAGTGATGTCCCCGAAATGATTCGTTCCCACAGTGGGATGAAGGTCACGGCCATGGCCTATACGACTTCTCTACCACCGCAAGGGTGGTCCTTTTCCTGGCTCCGGCACCTTAAACTCCACCCCCGGGAGAAATTCTTTTGGTGGCGTGTCTACAGGAATGCCATCCCTACCACTGACTGGCTACTTCGACGGAACCTGGCGGACTCATCTCTATGTCTGTGGGAGTGTAACGAGATTGAAAATCTGGACCACTGTATTGCCAGGTGCACTCAGCTTCGTAGTATCCTGTGCTGCTTAGCTGATTGGGGCTTTGCTCTTCCCTCCTTCACTTCAGCGTCTGAGGTGTTTGATTCTTTGAAGAACCTTGCGGGCTCGAACCCTTTGCCAGACAAAATTTATTGCTATGCTGTGTACCAGGCATGGCGAGCCCGCAATGCGAAGAAGCATGGGAGGCAATTTGGCATTCCCAAGGTGATTGCGGCGACGGTTCTATCTCAAATTCCAAAGTCCTTCTCCTTGCCTCCGATGGAGCAATGGTGTATCAATCAGCCCATTAGGCTGCCGTTAAACCGTTTATGGTGCACCCCCCCCCCCCTCCGAATTGGCTTAAGATGAACTTTGATGCCTCTATTTTGCCGTCCAACAAGGCTGGCCTTGGCCTTGTTATCCGTGACCATGTGGGGCGTCTTATTGTGGCGATGGGTAAGACGATTGAGCATTGGGACCTTACGCGAGCGGAAGTGCTTGCGGCCTTGGCTTTCCGGGATGTGTTTGAGGACTGGATGCTTGATTGTGATGGCCTCGTGATTGAAGGTGACTGCAAGAATGCAATTAGGTGGCTGCAGGAGCTTTGTGATCTAAAGAACCCCCTCCACCGCCGGGAGGAGGGTGTGGATACTTCTTTCTTTTGTAACTTTAGGCAAGTTATCTTTCAGTTTATTCCTCGGCTTAGCAATAGGCCAGCCGATTTTTGTGCTTGTTTGGCTACTTTTGGTGGCTTTGTTTGGAAGGATGTTTCTTGTAGCTCAATACCCTCAACCTTTGTCGATTTATTAAGGGCGGAGAGCGATATGGTGTAGCACCTTGTATTTTTCCTTTATGCTTTATTAATGCTATATGCAATTTTCAAGGAACCCAAAAACTTTGGGAGAGGCTCTTCATTTGTTCTATCTTCTTTCTCTCACTAGAGTGGTTTCAGAGAGAGAAGCTCTAGGATGGCTAGAGGGGGTGGCCTTAGGTCACCTCCTCCAAATGGGGGGTTTGGTGGTAGGAATGGCGGCAAGAAGGAGGGGAGAGTTGGGAATCGATGGCAAGTGCTTGCCGACGAGGAGGCCGGCGGTGGTGAGCCGGCAGCTGCAGTGACGAGGGGCGGTTTACCGTCCAGAAATCATGGTTCGGGCCGGCCTTTGGCTGAACCAAGCAAGGGGGCTTCTCCCCTTGGTGCTCGGGAAGAAAAGGGAAAGAAGGCTCCGGCCACCATTCGGCCGGGCAAGGAGAATGCCCAAGGAGAGGGCAAGGTGGCTGCGACCAAGGCGACGGGGGCTACTCCCATGGAAGTGGCGGCTACAAGATTTACCCCTACCAAAGGGAAGTTCGAGCTTGGTATTTCATCCCCCCTTTCTAAGCCTTTGGCGGTGAGGGAGCTCATCATGAGCACCATTGGGATTTCTTCTCCGGCGGCTCAAGACTGCGGCATTATTCAAGCTCAAGGGACGAACACCTCCCATGTGGAGGAGGACGGGGCGTACAGCTCGGGTGATGTTTCACCCCGTGCTAGCAGCTATGGCATGGAGGACGAGCAGCTGGAGGTGTCCGACCGGGAGGGTTCGGCCGGTAGTGACATGGAAGAAGGCGGGGGGAGCAGCCCTCGGGAGTGTGCAGATATGGCTACTGGGTCTGATCGTGGAATGGAGTCCGACCGTGAGAATGAAGTGGCCAGTGACATGGACGATTCGGGTCATGCTTCCGGGCACCAATCGGATATGGAGGATTTGGAGGCCACTCAGGCCGAGCCCCAGCTCAAAGCCCTGGTGGCGGCGGTGTGCCCAGCTGTCCGAGCAAGCATCCCTTGGGCGGACTGCAATGAGCTACAAGAGAATCCTATTTTTGACCATAATGTGAATGATAATGAGCAGTCTCTGCAGGTTGATCACAGCATGTGTGTGGAGATTGCAAATAGTTCTAGGTGTGACCCTCCTCTTGTTACACCCACCACCGATCCCAAGGCTACAGCTTTCTGCACACAAGCTGTTTGTGGAATTGCCCTCAAGGAACCGCAGACCAGGATTGGCCAAGCAGCTGCCGCGAGCAAAGGCCCTGGCCACTTGGGAGGAACGGCCAGCAATCCCTCTGCGTGGAACAAGGTCCAGCTAGTGCCCATCTCTAAATTGAACAAGGAATCCTTCCTTGGCAAAGATGGCAAGTCGATTGATCCCGAGATCCAAGCCGTCCATAGCAATATTGCTCGGCTTGACCGTGCAATTGTGGCAAAGGTTATGGGGCGATGAATTGCATTCCCTTATCTCCTAACCGAGCTCAAGAAAAGATGGTTCCATTTTGGTGATTTTGAAATAGTCACCATTGCCCCCAATTCCTTTATTTGTGTTTTTGAAAGCTTGGAAGCAAGAGATGCCGTTCTCTCGGGAGGGCCATGGATCGTTGCAGGAAACATTATTGGCATGGATAGATGGTCTCCATCGGCTTCACCTAACTCCCTGCATGGACTTCACTCCCCAATATGGATTAGTCTTTCCCAACTGCCTCTTATATATTGGGACATTAGCAACATTACACGCATCGCCAACATGCTCGGGGACCCCTAGTGGATGGACTCCCACACTAGTACTTGGGGACGTTCCTCCTTTGCTCGTATTTGTGTCAGGATAGACCTCTCACAGCAATTAGTGTCGGGTGTATGGATTAATGGTATCCATGAACGTTTCTTCCAAAGGGTGGAGTATGAAGGACTGACGAACTTTTGTTTCGACTGTGGATTCATTGGTCACACCAAGGGGAATTGCCCATCTAAGCCTCCTCGACAAGGCTCGTCCTCGCCTGAGATGCAAGCAGCTCGGCCAAAAACAGCCCAACCCGAGAGCCTCCATGGCACCGTCCAGCCAGCCAGGCCGCCATTGCAAGCCTGTGACAACTCCCCTATCAATGGGGAATCAGAAGATAACTCTTATGGGGTGTGGAACCTGGTTACCCGCAAGCGACAGGGCAAGAAGAAGCAGATTAATGTGCAACAACCAAAGGAACAAGTGCAGCCGAGTGAGATTATGCAGCCAGCTCAAGTTTCCCGAGAGCAGCTCAAGAGAATGGAGGAAATTTCAGAGCGGATTGTTAGCCCGAATAAGCACCAAGCTAAGGATCACAAAATTGTTTTCAGTGCAGAGCGGCCAGCCCAAGACACTGTCTCAGCCGAGGTCAATCTTTCCAAAAGACAACACAAAGCTTCCAAGGCTTACATGGAGAAGCAGTTACTTCAGTTGGGACCGATTGCCACCCTCCCCCGCAAGAGGAGGAAGAACTTACATGATGACACTGGCGGGGACTTTGTCCCCTTTGAGGAACAATGAGGCCTTTCCTTGATTCTTGTCCATGGAGGCTTAGGGTGTTCATACTACGTCTGGCGTAATGGGATATCTCTCAGCCCTCAGGCTATTTTAAACCCTTTATAGGTATCTCCCCCCGCTGGAGTGGTTCTTTGAGCATGTTAAGCTTTTCTTGGACAAGTAATTGGGGAGGGCCCCATTGTGACTCAAAGGGGCTTATCCTTGCTTTAGTTGCTTTCTTTTTTGCTTATCATACTTGTATGGCTTACTTCATAGTTTTAGACCTTCCCACTTTTGTTTTTGCCTTGGGAAGGCAGATAGTTTCTCCATACTTGTTATGTACCTTTTCTTCATTTAATCAATGCAAATGCAACTTTCAAGGAACCCAAAAACTTTGGGAGGCTCTTCATTTGTTCCAAACTCTTTCTCTCACTAGAGTGGTTTTAGAGAGAGAAGCTTTGGGATGGGAAGAGGGGGTGGCCTTAGGTCACCTCCTCCAAATGGGGGGATTGGTGGTAGGAATGGCGGCAAGAAGGACGGGAAGTATGGAAATCGGTGGCAGGTGCTCGCCAACGAGGAGGCCGGCGGTGGGGAGTCGGCGGCTGCAGCTCCTAGGGGTGGTTTTCTGTCCAGGTCACCGGGTTTAGGCCAGCTTTCGGCAAACCCCAGCAAGGGGACGGCTACCCTTGGTGCTCGGGAGAAGCAAGGCAAGAAGCCCACTAGTTTTGGCCGGCCAAAGAAGGAGAATGCTTTGAGTGGAGGAGTGGCGGCTGAGCCTAAGGATTCGAGGGCTGCTTCCACGGTGGATGCGGCTGCTACAAGGTTTACTCCCCACAAGGGGAAGTTTGAGCTCGGAATAACATCACCCCTCTCCAAGAATAAGGCGGCTAGAGAACTCATCATGAGTTCTATCGGGATATCCCCGTCGGACTCCATGGCTGGCGGCTTTGCCCAAAGCCAAAGGGATGCTCCCCTCCATGGAAAGGATGACTGCAGTTCGGATAAAGGCTCCCTCCGTGAAGCAGCTACAACATGGATGATGAGCAGGATGATGGGTCCGTTTTGGCCTATGCCCCCAGCGACATGGAAGATGGCCAAGGGAATAGTCAGCGGGATTGTGCAGAGATGGAGACTGGCTCGGAGGGAGGTCATGATCCTGACCGTGAGGGGGGCGATGCCAGCAATATGGAGGAGTCCGGTGCTTCGGTAGGCCAGCAAACGAACATGGAGGACGACTTGGCTGAGTGGGCCGATGCGCAACTGCAGGCTCTAGGGGTGGCAGTTTGCCCAGCTGTGCGGGATGCCACCGCTTGTGCGGACTGCACCGAAATGCAAGACAATCCCGTCTTTGAGCAGGGAGGAGTGAATGCTGTTAGCAATGGGATGAATCTGGACTGTAGCATTAGGTGTGAACTTGGCCAGGTTTCGGCAGCCACTTCCCCTGGAGCAGCTGAAGAATGCACACAAGGTGTTTGTGATATTTCCCCTAAGGAACCGAGAGCCCCTCCTAAACAGGAATCAGCCGCGCGCAAGGCTCCCTTCCCTTTGGGAGGCACGGCTAATAATCCCTTTGCGTGGAACAAAGTGCATCTTGTCCCGATCTCCAAATTAGACAAAGGGTCTTTCCTTAGCAAGGATGGAAAGTCAGTTGATCCCGAGCTCGAGGCGGTTCATAGCAACATTGCAAAACTTGATCGTGCGATAGTGGCCAAGGTTATGAGGCGTCGCATTGCTTTCCCCTACCTCCTTAGCGAACTCAAGAAGAGATGGCTCCATTTTGGTAATTTTGAAATCGTCACTATTGCCCCCAATTCGTTCATTTGCTTATTTCAAAGTGCGGAAGCAAGAGACGCTGTGCTCTCGGGCGGACCATGGATTATTGGGGGTAATATTATCGGTATGGATCGTTGGTCACCTTCTGCTTCCCCCAATTCACTCCATGGCCTTCATTAACCCTTTTGGATCCGCCTTCCGCAATTGCCCTTGATATATTGGGACATTAGCAACATCACGCGTATTGCCAACATGCTTGGGGACCCTTTATGGATGGATTCCCACACGAGTACTTGGGGACGGTCCTCGTTTGCTCGTATTTGTGTTCGAATTGATTTGTCTCAACAGCTTGTGCCGGGAGTATGGATAAATGGGATTCATGGGCGTTTTTTTCAGAAAGTTAAATACGAGGGCCTCACAAATTTTTGTTTCGACTGCGGTTACATCGGGCATGCCAAAGGTAGCAGCTCAGCCAAGACCTCTCAGCAAGGATCGACCCCCATTGTTAATTCCGAACCCAGTCACCATGCAGCTCACAAGGAGGGACCACCCCTGACCGTCCCTTCTCCAAATCCGGCGATCAGAGGCTAGGACGACTCCAGATTTTGTGAAGAACCCGAAGACAAGTCCTATGGGACTTGGAACTTGGTGACTAGGAGGAAGAAAGGCAAAGCCAAGCTGGACATTCAACCACCCAAGGGCCAAGAGCTACCGCCACCAAACCCGAAACAAAAAACCGAGTCCTGTAAACCCGCGCCTGACTCACGGGAAGCTCTTGAACGCATGGAGGAGATCTCCAATAGGATTGTGAGGCCGAGCAAATCCCAAGCCGTGAAGCATCATGTGGTGTTCAATGCCGCACGGGGGTGCAATGATCCTTCCTCTTTGGATGTGAATCTCACCAAGTGCCAACATAAGGCATCCAAAGCGTTCATGGAAAAATAGTTGCTGCAGTTGGGGCCGATAGCCACCCTTCCCCGCAAGAGGAGGAAGAACTTACAAGATGACACTGGCGGGGACTTTGTCCCCTTTGAGGAACAATGAAGCCTTACCCTTACCCATGCACAAGGGTGAAGGTGATGCCTATCCGACTTCTGGCGCAATGGGATATCTTTCCGCCTTCGGGTGTGTTGAACCCTTTCACAGGTATCTCCCCCAGCTGGAGTTGTTCTTTAGGAATTACTGGATCTCCGAGGGCATGGCTTAGGGGTGGGCCTCATTGCAATTCAAAGGGGCTTCTCCTTGCTTTTTTCCTTGCTTTTTCAATTGTCATACTTGTATAGAGTTTTGCTTTCATAGTATAGCCCTTCCCGCCTTTTGCTTTTTTGTTTTGAGAAGGCATATAATCCATACTTTTGTGCTTTCTCTTTAATTAATGCAAAATGCAAAATGCAAAATTTCAAGGAACCCAAAAACTTTGGGAACCCAAAAACTTTTGGAACGCAAAAACTTTGAACTTTGGTTTGGCTCCATTTCCTCCCCCTTTCTTCTCTCTCTAGGTTTCTAGTGTGAGAAGCTCTGGTATGGGTCGGGGAGGTCGCCCTCGGGCACCTCCTCCCTCCGGTGGAAGTGCTGGCGGTTCTGCTATTCGGACTGCGATTGAGAGCTCGCGCTCTCCCCCTTCGCCGCGCCGATGTCGTTCCCGTCGACGTCGTTCCCGGTCGTCGTCTCGGAGTTTCTCCTCCTCCCCCTCGGCCGACTGTTGCTCTGCTTGTGCGAGGAATGTTGGGGTGGGCTCGTCCTCCCCTTCTAGGAAGAAGTCGTGTTCCAGGTCCCATTCTCTGTCTTCTTCCTGGGGACTGTCCTGCCCTACCGCTGGCTTGGCCACTTCCTCTTCTGCCTCTTCGGGCTCCCTGTGTGCAACCAGCCAGAGTTGGGTGCGCCTGCTGTAGGCCTTTTGGGTGCGGTCGCTACTGTGGTCGTGCCCGCCTCGGCTTTGCCCCTACAGCCTCGGCCCACTTCTACGCCTTGTCAGGTCTCCTCTGCCCCCCTCGAGCCGTGTGCAGGCTCTACTGCACCTGCCACTTCTATGCCTTCTGCCTGGCTCCCATCTAATCCCTCTTCCCTTCCCTCTTTGGGGTGGGCTCGGCCTCCTCACCCGCCCCTCCATGTGGTTCAACCAGATCTTTGCCTTGCTAAGGATGGTTCCTCGATGGAACCTGTGCCTGAGGCTGTGCAGGAGAATATTGCCAGGCTTAATAAAGCCCTTATCGCCAAGGTACTGGGGCGTCATCTTCCCTTTCCTTTCCTCATCTCTGTGCTTAAGATTCTTTGGGGTCATTTTGGGCCTTTCGAGGCCATCTCCTCTGCTCCCAACACGGTTATCTGCAATTTCTCGTCCCCCGAGGCACGTGAAGCTGTGCTGCAGGGCGGGCCGTGGTTGGTTGCCGGAAATATTGTTGGGTTGGGCAAATGGTCCTTTTCGTCTTCTCCTGCCTCTGTCGAGGGACTTTGGTCCCCAATTTGGATTCGCTTGCCTGAGCTTCCTCTTATTTATTGGGATGTGGCTAACCTCTCTCGGTTAGCAAGTATGATTGGTGTTCCCCTTTGGATGGACTCGTTTACCAGCACCTGGGGACGCTCCTCTTTCGCTCGCATCTGTTTCAGGATGGACCTGTCACGGAAGCTGCCGCCCGGGGTTTGGATAAATGGCATTCATGGCCGTTTTTTCCAAAAGGTCCAGTATGAGGGCCTGCAGTCCTGCTGCTTTGCCTGTGGGGTCGTTCAGCATCCGTCCCACTTCTGTTCAGAGTCAGCCTCTCCTCTCCCCTCGGCCTCTACAACAGCGCCCCCGTCGGTGCCTGCCGCTTCGACCATTCCTAGGGATGGTTCAACTTCAAACCACCCGTTGTCAGTGCCTCTGCGGCCGTCTACCACTCCCTCCGGAGTGCCTTCTTCCCTGGTCACCTCACCGGTTGAGGAACTCGGGAAGTGGAACCTAGTTTCCCGCAAGCGCCCTCGTGCTCGGAAGCTAGTTTCATTGGCTCGCCCTTCTCGCCTGCAGCCTCGCCCTCCTTGTTAGGACTGGGCCCTTCCAAGCTTCCGGCTCGGTCCGGCCACCACACTTCCTCCCGCCGCCCGCCCAGGACCCCCTCTTCTCGACAGTCTAGCCGTGGACCGTCTGTCTCCTCGTTGAAGGAGACTCTCTCAAGACCGGCCCCTGCTCCCCCTTCCCACCGGCTGCTTCCGGTGGGTCCCCCTTCGGACTGGGATGGTGCCCCTGTCCCCTCTCCTGTTGGTCCACGGCTGGACTGGGGCGGGGACCCTATCCCCTCTTCTGGGCCATGACTGGCTTCTCGGCTTCCGGCCCCAGGCCCTTCGGCTCCTCGACTTCTGCTGGAGCACTGAGATTCTGTTCAGACTATTTTACTCCTTGTACGATTCCCCCCCCTGGTGATGTTATGGCGCGGTTTCTTGGGTTTGGCGGTTGGTTGCTTGGAGATGTCCAAGCCCGGCCTTTGTATCTCTTTTTGGCATATTGGCCCTCCCCCTCTTTGTCTTAGGGGAGTTTGCCGTGTGTTTTCTCTTTTTCTGTAATTGTTTTGTTGTTGCTTAAATGCAATTTATAATTCAAGGAACCCAAAAACTTTGGGGGCTTCTTCATTTCTTTCCACTCCTTTTTCTCACTAGAGTGTTTCCTAGTGTGAGAAGCTCTGGGCATGGTAGGGGGAGACAGGCGGTCTTCTCCCCGCTCCGACGGGGGTGGTGATAAAGGGACGGCGGATGGTGGTGGACGGGACCGGCGGAAGTCGGGTGTTGGTATGGGCGGAGGAAGGAAGGGTTTGGATGCTAGTTCGTCGGCTAAGGCGGGTGGTGGCAAACACTCGGCTAAGAGTGGTGGGAAGCCCTCGGGCGATGGAGGTGCGGGCTCTACTCGCGGTGGCAAGGCCGCGGCTGAGGCGAGCGCAAGCCAAGGGGTTGCCCGTTCCGGGGTAGCTGTTTCTGCGCAGAACGCGCGGGAGGGACGTGATGCTGCCGGTGTGGATGGTGCGGGGTGTGAAGCTGAACGGAGCAGTACTGATGTGCGCGCGGAGGTCTTGGCAAGTGGGGCAGATGCAATGCAGATGGAGGAAACATAGGTCTTGGCTGACCCGATCTTCGAGGATGCGGCTATGGAGTTTGAGCTTGCCCTTGAGAGGGTCTCGGTTGCGGCCAATGCTAAAGTTGCTGCGGCAGCCAGGAGGGCGGCGTCTTTCTCGGCGCCTATGGTGCAGGTTGAGACGGCAGCCCATGGAGATGCGGACATGGATTCCACTGAAAAGGTGGCTGGAGAGGTCCCCGGGAATAGCCCGCAGCTAGGCGTGAACCACCAGGATACGAATGGCAGCGACGCACAGGATTCTTTGAGGCACATGCAAGGTGTTTGCGGTATTGCCACTACCAGACCGAGTGTTGGAGTCTTTGGCGAGAGGGTGGCTGTTAGTCAGCCGACAAGCTCGACTAATGCCTGGAAGCGGCCAGATCATATTCGTGTGACCGAGAGGGTCCAGATGGGGCAGTTTTTGGCCGATGGTTTCTCGGTGGACCTAAGGCTGGATGTTGTTGAACGTTGCATCAACCACTTGGAAAATGAGGTGGTTGGCAAGGTGCTTGGGCGGCGGCTCCCATTTCTTGTCTTACAAGCTGAAACTCGACGACAGTGGAGGAGGTTTGGGGAGTTCCAATTATCCACCATTGGAGTCGACTGCTTCGCGTGCATCTTCAACTCGGCTGAGGCTAAGGATGCAGTCCTTTATGGAGGACCTTGGTTCTTTAGTGGCAATATTGTGGGGCTTGATCGTTGGACTCCCGAGTTTTCCCCTAGCTCTCTTGAGGGTCTAACCTCGCCAATTTGGATCCGCTTGCCACAATTGCCCCTCCAATATTGGGATCAAAATACGCTTATTCGTATTGCCTCGATGATTGGGGAGCCTTTATGGATTGATGCTTAGACGGGTAATGTGGGGCGCCGGGAATACGCCCGGGTATGTGTTAAGCTTGATTTAGTTCGAAAACTTCAATCCGGCATTTGGATCAACGGATGGAAGGGAAAATTTCATCAGCGTGTTGAATATGAAGGCTTGGGATTATCATGCTTTGAATGCGGGAGTATCGGCCACAGAAAAGAGCACTGTCCTTCTCGGGCAACGACTAGCACGACTCAACCTGGCGGGATCCAATCAGGGGCTACAGGGGGAAGACCCTGATGACGGGTGCGGGCAAGTCTGGGGTTCCTATTCTTCCTTTGCCTTCTACAGGAGATAATTTGACCGTGGGCACCATCACGCCGTGCTCCACTCCAAATCCGGTGAACGCGAGTAACCTCTCGGCTTCGGCCAAATTGGGTAGCAGAGGACAGTCGTCCACGGCGTCCACATCTAATTCGGCCGGGGTGGATGCTTATCCGAGATTGCCTGAGCTGTCGGATGATGAGAAACTCTATGGCCCGTGGAACGTGGTACCCCCGAGGAAGGGACGGAAGCCGCATAAGAAAGATCAACATGTGACCAAGTCTCCTCTTGGTGAGAATGTTCCTAGGCAAGTTGATCTTGCAAAAATCAATGAGCCGAAGGTGCGACGTATGAAAGAAAACTTCCACCCAAGCCGTGGAGACAAGAAACCAGGCCTTACTGAGCCGTTGCTGTTCTCTGCTGGCATCCGGTCGATGGAGGTTAAGCCGGCACGGCCTAAACTTGGGGCGTCGAAGGCGCATTTTGATAAGGAACTCCAATCTCTGGGGCCGATTGAGGAGGCTCCCCGTAAGAGGCGTAAGGATGGGGCTAATGCTAGCGGCGGCGGGGATGCGTCCCCTATGGTTGTATAATGTCTACAACTATGTTCTGGAATTGCAGGGGGGCTCAGAAGAAGCATACGAGCAACTACCTGCGTCACATGGTGGGTGACAACGAGGTGCACTTTGTGGGTTTAGTGGAAACCAAGATTGAAGCCTTCGAGCGGGCGGATGCGGACAAGCTTATTGGTCCATGCTGGGAGTATTTCCATAGACCGGCGGTCGGTAAATTTGGGGGGATTCTTGTGCTGTGGCGCAAGGATATTACTCAGTTCATGGTGCTTGAGGACAATGAACAGGTTGTGATTAGATCGCTCTCGCTGCCCAATGGCCAGAGGTGGCTAACGGCTGTGGTGTATGCCAACAAGGATTACCATATTCGTCGTGGTTTGTGGGACTCCATTTCACGGCATTATGATGCTAGCTCTCCGATGCTTGTCGGCGGAGACTTCAACTTCTGCCTTTGCCAGGCGGACAAGAAGGGCGGTAAAACTTTCACTTTCTCGGCAGGATCCTTGGAGATGTCGGAATTCATGGCTAATTTGGACCTTCATGATTTGGGTTTTGTGGGACCCAATTACACTTGGTCTAATAACAAGGAGGGGAATAGTAGAATCTGGGTACGCCTAGATCGGTGTTTAATGAATTCGGAGGGTCTCAAGTGTGACCCGCTTGCGACTGTTCGACACTTGGGGAGGATTGCCTCCGATCACACTCCTCTGCTTCTAACTCTCTCCTCTAGATGCCCGTCGCGTGGGGAGAAGTTCGTCCGTTTTGAGGATGTGTGGACCGGAGGCTTCGTGGAGGGTGGTTTGGCAGCATTGATCGCGTAGGGACACGGGGGATCCGGCGGAGGTGCTGAATCAGAAATGTCAGCGTACCTTGCGGGCCCTATTCCACTGGAGCCGGAGCCATATCCGGGGATTGACTGACCAGAAGACGAATGCTGAGCGCCGTATCCTGGAACTGCAGGAGGTTGATTGCTCTCCAGACGGCCTTACGGCGGAGCAGGAGAATGAACTGCGATGTAAGGTGGGGGAGCTTAACGATGCCATGACTAGACTCACTATTTGGTGGAAACAGTGGGCCAAGGTGAGGTGGATTGAAGAGGGGGATGCAAACACGCATTTTTTTCATATGGCCGCTACCAGCCGGAGGCGGGAGAACCGTATTCTATGCACTCAGAGGGCAGACGGGCAACTTGAGTATGATGCCGATCGGGTGCAGGATGCCTTTCTGGACTTCTTTCGGGCTAAGTGGAAAGACCGTAATGCTTGCCTACTTCATTGGCCGGACTTTGGGAAACAAGACAGGATCCCTGCTCAATTTAGAGTTGCTTTGGTGGCCGGTGTCACGGACAGTGAAATTCGGGAGGCTGTCAATGGGCTTGGCAATAATCGGGCACCGGGCCGTGATAGCATTTCAGCCTCTTTCCTTAAGTTTTATTTGGACATCATCAATAAGGAGGTTCTTGCGGCAGTGCGGGACTTCTTTACTACGGGCACGATGAACGGCAATTGGAAGGAAACGCTGATCATCCTCCTTCCCAAAGTGGACAATGCTACTTCGCCGTCCATGTTCCGTCCTATCAGCTTGTGCCAATCTCTCTACAAAGTTACGGCGCGGATTCTCGTTAGCCGCATGAAACCGATCCTGGCTAGGGTGGTTGGGGAAGAACAAGGGGCCTTCGTGCCTGGCCGATCCATTTCCAACCACGGCTTGATTGCACAGGAAATTATTTGTCATTTCCAACACTCTACTAAACAGGCGGGTATGATGGCGCTCAAGGTGGATATGGAACAGGCCTACGACTGCATGGCCTGGGACACTCTACAGCAAGTTATGCACCGTATGGGCTTCCCGGATCGGTTCATTCGCTGGGTTATGCATTGTATCTCTTTTCCTAGGTTTCAATTGCTTATTAACAGTCGCAGGAGCGATTGGATCGACGGCCGCAGCGGTTTTCGGCAGGGCTGTCCTCTTTCGCCCTACCTCTTCATACTCTACTCGGAACTCCTCACCAAAGCGTTTGGGCAATGGGGGGGGGGCACTATTGGTGTTCGGGTGACCAAGGAGGCTCCGTTGGTTTCCCACCTCTTGTACGCGGACGACATCCTTGCCTTTGCGAAGGCGAGTGTTCTCAATGCTAAACGGATCGGAAAACTTCTGAAGGATTATTTTTTGTGGACTGGCCAACACATAAATTACACCAAATCAGCAATCATGTTCAGTAAGTGTTGTCCGATGTGGAAGCAAAGGAGGGTGGCTAATCTCTTATCATTCCGTAGGGTCTAGAAGCTTGAATATCTCGGCCTCCAGCTTGATATGCGTAAATTGGTGGCCTCCGACTTCCCTAAGGTGGTGAAGAATGCGATGGGCAAAATCAATAGATGGGGCAGACGCCATCTCTCCCTGGCAGGACGGGCCACCCTTATCTGCACCTCATTTCTTGCAGTTCCTATGTATCTTCTCACCCACACTACTCTTCCGCGAAGCATCTTGGCGGCTATTGAACGCATGGCCCGTAGTTTCTTGTGGCAGAAAGATAATGTTAGCCGCGGTATCCACTATGTTCGGTGGGAGGAGTTATGCCACCACACGGTGAGTGGGGGCTTGGGATTTCATGCCTCGGCTGATTGGGAGGGGCCTTTGCGGGCCCGGCTAGCATGGGATATCATCCAGAACGACAATTCTTTGTTTTGCAGAATTGTAACGGCGAAATATGGCCGGGATTTATGGCGCCCCAGGACGGAGAGGAACACGTCGGTTACCTGGAGGATTCTGCAAAATGGGGCCGAGGCCCTACGCCCGATCTTAAAATGGACCATTGCCAATGGGGAATCTGTTGATGTTCTCAATGACAACTGGATTGGGAACATTTGTCTGGCCCGGTGGCCAACTTTCCTTAGGGTGGAGGCCTTGGAGGGCCAGACGATGACTCCTTGATAAGCATAAAAATTGGAACCGGGATGTGATTCGGGAATGCCTCGGGGAAGAGCTGGCTCGCCGAGTGCTTGATGTGCATACCATTATTGGCGGTCGGCCGGATTCACCGGAGCTGCTGCAATCCCGCCTTGCTGCTACTATTACGTCCATGGCCTACAATCACGGTAAGGATACTACGGGATTTCAGTTTGCTTGGCTTTGAAGACTTAAACTACATCCTCGGAACAGTTTTTTTGGTGGCGGCTCTTTAGAGATGCGCTGCCCACTATGGAGTGGATGTTTCGGCGTGGCCTCACTGACTCACAGACCTGCCCGTGGGGTTGCTCTCAGTCCGAAACTCTGGAGCATGTGGCGGCGAACTGTGCCAAGCTCGCTGCTTCACTGGCAGTGCTTGCCAAATGGGGATTTCATATGCCGCCCGTCAAATCTTGGCGTGATTTAATAAGGATGCTTGAGTTGGCTGCTAGGGACAATGCAAGCCATGGAAGACTTTACTGTTATACTGTGTACCAAGTCTGGCGCGCCCGCAATAACAAAATTCATGGCCGTTCTTGCAGCACATCATCGGCTATTGCGGCTAATGCTTTATCTATGCTACCGAGAACTTGTTCTTCGCCTGTTTTGGAGCAATGGTGTACCTCTCAGTCCTCAGGACTGCCTAACTACAAGCTTTGGTGCACCCCCCCTCCGAGATGGGTAAAGTTCAATGTGGATGCTTTGATTAAGCCGTCGGGAGCGGCGGGATTGGGGATTGTGGCTCGGGATGAGAACGGCCGGTTAGTGACGGCGATTGGCAAGCAAGTGGAGAAATGGGATGCGACCAATGCTGAGATTATGGTAGCTTTGGTGGTGAAGGACGCCATCCGTGACTGGATGGCACAGCTTGATGGCATTATCATTGAGGGGGATTGTTTGCCGGCGATTAAATGGCTCCAAATTATGTTCAACCACAAGAGCAAGGGTCATTGGCAAGCGACGGGTCCGGACCTGACTTTCTTGCTTGACTTCAAGCAAGTGCTTTTCCACCATATCCCGAGGGCTAGCAATAGGTCGGCCGACTATTGTGCGCACTTGGCCAGGTTTGGCAATTTTGAGTGGTCCGATTGTGATGATAGAAATGTACCTCCCTCTTTTGTAACTCTTTTAAGGGAGGATAGTGATCGAGTGTAGTCTTTACTCCTTGTACTTCTTATTTTTCCTTTCTCTTATTAATGCATATTGCAAATTTCAAGGAACCCAAAAACTTTGTATGGACCGTTGGAGTCCTGACTATGCCCCTAACTCTCTGCATGGTCTTTTTTCCACGGTGTGGGTTCGTCTACCACAGCTTCCCCTTCTGTACTTGGATGTCACCAATCTCAATCGTATGGCCAATTTCATTGGTGACCCTCTGTGGCTGGATGCTCATACATCCACTTGGGGGCGTTCCTCCTTTGCCCGTTTCTGTGTCTGCCTGGATCTTGCTAAGCCGCTCCTCCCCGGTATCTGGATCAAGGGAGTTTGAGGGAGATTCTTCCAGAAGATTGAATATGAGGGCCTTTCCAACTTTTGCTTTGCGTGCGGGCTTGTCGGCCATAGTGTCGACCGATGCCCATCTGACTGGACTGCCCCTCAAGCCCCCCCACCGGCTGGTTCCAACCCTCGTGCTCCTCGTAGGTCGGCCTGTGTGCCGATTGGACAGGAAACCTCCTCTGCTATCAGAACTGGGGGACCCAACCTTGCCGCTCAGCAGCCGGGTGTCCCTTCTAGGTCTCTCAGTCCTTTAGATTCTACCCATGGTGGTACCGCCTCTCGGCCTCTCCACAGCAATCCCCCCTCTCCTGAGCGACTCGGGGAGCTGGGGGAATGGAATATTGTTAAGAGGAGGCGGCGGCCTCGGAAACCTTCGCCTTCTTCGCCGACTCTGATGACTCTTCCCGCTCCGGCAGCCCCTCCTGTCAGATCGGCTGGCCAGATAGGCGTGCTTTCTCCTCCCTCGGTGGGGAGGTCTAATCTGATTCTTAAAAAGGCTTCATCTCGTGGAATTGTTCCACAAAAAGAGGTGCTTCAGTTGGGCCCTATTATCCCTAGGAAACGCAAGAAAGGCCCTGAAGAGACTACGGGCGGGGACCTTTTCCCTTCTGCTGTTTTATGAGGCTCCCCTTGTTTCAGGTTCTGGAGATTTATACGGGGAGTAGACAGATTATGCCGGGCACTGGGGAGCTTTTCTGCTCTTTGAGCAGTTCTTACTCTTGTTCGGCTCCCCCCCCCCCCCCCCCCCCCCCGACTGGTCTGCTTCTGGTTCCGGTGCATTTCTTTAGATGCTGTGCTTGGTGGCCTTTGTGTTTTGTACTTTTCTTGTGCTGTTTTTGTTTTTTCTGTCTGTGGCTTTCCTTTGTTGTGGAAAGCCCCCTTTTGTTTGTTGTACTTTCCCTTTATGCTTAAATGCAATCTTATTTCAAGGAACCCAAAAACTTTGGAGGGCTCTTCATTTGTTCCAAATTCTTTCTCTCACTAGAGTGGTTTTTAGAGAGAGAAGCTTTGGGATGGGAAGAGGGGGTGGCCTTAGGTCACCTCCTCCAAATGAGGGGAATGTTGGTGGTGGAGGCAAGGGTGGCGGCGGTCGCAAGGAGAGGCGGCAAGGTAATCGGTGGCAGGTGTTTGCCAATGAGCTGGCCGACGGCGAGGAGCTGGCGGAGCAAGGTGAGAGGGGCGGCGGCCACTCTAGGTCACCAGGTGTTGGGCGATTTTCGGCCAACCAAGACAAGGGGGCTGATGCCCTAGCTATGGAGGAGGAGAAAAAGATAAAGACCGGCGACACCATTTGCCCGGGCAAGGAGAATGTGCGGGATTTGGCTAAGGGAAAGGTGGCTGGAGGTAGAGTAGTTGGCGCGGGGGCTGGGATGGCTGAAGGAGGCGGTGCGGGCATTAGGCAGACCGCGGCTGGAGCAGCGAGTGCAAGGTTGGCTGCGGGGACTGCTGCTGGTGCGGCAGAAGTTGGACAAGGTGCGGCGTGTGCTAACCCGGGAGCTGGGAACAATGCAAGGTCTGCGGTGGGTCGGGTTGCAGCTGCTGCTGCAACACAAACGGCGGCTACCAAGTTGGGTGTCGCGGGCAATGGACAGGTCACGACCTTCCCTGAAGGCAAATTTGCGCCTGGAATAACTTCTTCCATTACTAAGCCCACGGCGGTGCGGGAGCTAATTATGAGCAGCATTGGTATGTCGCCGCCCCTGGGTGCGATGAAGGCGGCTGTACAAGTTCAATCGGAGACTATGGCTTCGGCCAAGTCGAGCAGCATTCGTGCCTCCCAACCAAACTCCCCCCGCACGGATAGCTGCGGCATGGACGACGACCAGCCTGGGGAATCCGAGCGGGATTTTGCTTTCGGGAGTGATGATGAAGACTATCAACCCAGCAGCCCGCGTGATGAGGAACATATAGCTACGGGATCGGAGGGTGCTTTGGATTGATGTATGATGAGAGACCGGCCAGTGACATGGAAGAATCGGGGGGGGGGGGGGGGGCTCTCAGGTTTCTCACACCGATATGGAGGATGATGGTGGTGAGCAGGCTGCACAGCAGTTCCACGCCTTTACCAAGGCTGTCAGCTCTAGGTCTCGGGTGGCCACCGCTTGGGCAGATTGCACCGAGGAGGAGGTGAGTCCGACACAGGAACAAGAGCCTGATGTTAACCGAAATGTGATGGATATGGACTGTAGCTCTAGGGGTGAACATCCAAAGGATCCGCCTACCACTGGCCAAGAAGTTTTTGGAAGTTGCCCATAAGGTGTTTGTGGTAATGTCTTCAAAGAGGAAAACATGGCTAAGTAGCCACGGCAGCCCACCCAAGCCGCAAAATTACAGCCTAACGGGTTTGCAAAGGGGCCCTTTACTTGGAGCAAGGTTCAACATGTGCCCTTGGATCGTCTTAGCCGGGAGCAATGGCTTGCCAAAGATGGCTTGTGTATTGAGCCGGAGATCACCGTCGTCAACGACAACATCTCTAGATTGGACAAGTCCATTGTGGCCAAACTTGTGGGGCGACGAATCTCCTTCCACTTCCTCCTTGAAGAGTTAAAGCATCGATGGTACCATTTTGGGGAGTTTGAGATAATCACCATTGCGGCTAACACATTCATTTGCATTTTTCAAAGCCATGAAGCCAGGGACACCGTGTTGGCCGGCGGGCCTTGGATTGTGGCCGGGAACATTATTGGGATAGACAAGTGGACCTCCTCTTGTTTGCCCTCTTCCTTGCAAGGCCTTCACTCTCCGATTTGGGTATGGTTGCCTCAACTACCCTTGATCTATTGGGACGTTAATAACATCACTCGCATTGCCAACGGAATTGGGGAGCCCCTTTGGATGGACTCCCACACTAGCACCTGGGGAAAATCTTCTTTTACTCGGATTTGTGTGAGGATTGACTTGTCCCAAAAATTGCTTCCAGGGGTTTGGATCAACGGGATCCATGGTAGGTTCTTCCAGAGAATTGAATACGAGGGGTTAACCAACTTTTGCTTTGACTGTGGGTTCATTGGACATGCCACGGGTAGCTGCTCGGCTAAGCAACAAGACAAGGATAATCTTCCCAACAAGGCTCAAACACCACAGAAAACATCTACAAGTCCGGCGGGACAGTCTGCTACCGCCGCCCAGCTCAGTTTGGGACAATCTGCCATGGACGGTCATTTGGACCGTGAGGCTCAAGGTGCGGACTCCTTGGGGGAATGGAACATTGTGACCCGCAAAAAAAGGACTAAGCCAAAAAGCCCAAGGGGAATACCAGCATCGGGTCTGAACAGGTCAGCCGAGTCCAGCCGCCCCCTCCGACCTCCGAACAGTCACAAAAGCATATGGAAGAGATCTCTAATCGGATTGTCAACCCGAGCTTGCAATCACCCAGGAAAAAGAAAGAAGTTTTTAATGCTAGCAAGCCGGATTAAGATGCCACTACCTCGACGATCAATCTATCAAAGCGACAACATAAAGCCTCCAAAGCTTTCATGGAGAAATAACTTCTGCAGCTTGGGCCTATTGCTCCTTTGCCAAGAAAGAGGAGGAAGAACTTACAAGATGACACCGGCAGGGACTTTGTCCCCTTTGAGGATCAATGATGCTCTTCCTTAATGCTTGTCCTTGGGTGCTAAGGGTGCTCACACCATGTCTGGCGCAATGGGATATCTCTCGGCCTTCGGGCTATTTTAAACCCTTTATAGGTATCTCCCCCCGCTGGATTAGTTCTCTGAGCATGTTTAGCATTTCTTGGGCTAGCAATTGGGAGGGGCCTCATTGTGACTCAAAGGGGCTTATCCTTGCTTTAGTTGCTTTAATTTTTGTCTATCATACATGTATGGTTTTCTTCATAGCTTTAGACCTTCCCACTTTTGTTTTTTGTCTTGGGAAGGCAGATAGTTTTTCCATACTTGTCATGTACTTTTTCTTTACTTAATCAATGCAAATGCAACTTTCAAGGAACCCAAAAACTTTGGGGGGGGGGTTCATCATTTCTTTCCACTCCTTTCTCTCACTAGAGTGTTTCCTAGTGTGAGAAGCTCTGGGCATGGCGGGGGGGGGAGGCGGTCTTCTCCCCGCTCCGGCGGGAATGATGGCGGTGAAGGTTCGACGGAAGATGGAGGGCGTGATCGGAGGAGGTCGGGTGTTGGTGCGCAGGGTGGTCGCAAGGGCGGTGAGGTGAAATCCCCGGCAAAGGCAGGATTGGGGAAGTCGGCGGGTAAAGGTGTGGCGACGGCCAGGTCTTCGGGTGAGGAGGCAGCTGCTGTGTCGCGGGGTGCTAAGGCACCGGACGGGCTTGGCTTCGGCCAGTCTAATGCGCGGGGAGGCTCGGATGTGACCAAGGGGCTGGGGGCTGCTCCAGCGGGAGCGACACGGGCTGATAAGGGATGGGATATGCAGATGGCGGTTGACCTAGCGGATGGGGAGACCGGGGCTGCTATGGAATTTGAGCAGGTGTTGGGCCGTATTGCGGAGGTGGCCAATGCGGAAGCGGCTGCGACTGCTAGGTATGCCGCGACGCTTGAATTGGCGTCTGGACGTGCGGCGCTGCATCAGGCGGCGAACCAGCCAGCGGTTGCTGGCTCTATGCTGCACGAGAAGGTCGCCCAGGTTCAGACTGCAACTGCTGCGGTGGATCAGGCAGGTAAGTGTTGTGATGACACTGAGATGGGAGTTGAGGTTGCAGCCTCTGAAGAACCTGTAGAGGAATGTCCTGAACTAGGGGTGAACCTACAATTCTCAATGGGTTGCGGAGGAGGGATTCCTCAAACACGCACGCAAGGTATTTGTCGAATTGCTCCTAGAGGTATGCGGCCGGAAGTCTTTGGTGGAGTGGTGTCGGATAGGGGGCAAGTCAATGGGAATAATGCATGAAAGAAACTGGAGCACATTCGGATTGAGGAGGAGGTTGCCCAAGGAGCCTTCTCTACGGATGGCGTGGTGAACTTGTACATGGACCTTGTGGAGCAACACATTTTGGCGTTGGACAATGCCGTGGTTGGCAAAATTATTGGGAAGAAGTTACCTTACTTTGTCCTAAGTGGGGAAATTAAACGGCAATGGGGTCGGTTTGGGGACTACCACCTTTCCATTATTGGGACCGATTGCTTTGTGTGCCGGTTTGACTCGAAGGAAGCTCGGGATGCGGTGCTCTGCGGAGGGCCATGGTTCTTCAACGGCAACATTGTAGGGCTAGACCGGTGGACTCCGGCATTCTCGCCAAATTTGATGGCGGGGTTGTCGTCGCCAGTTTGGATCCGACTACCTCAACTACCGCTGAAATATTGGGACCTGCATAATCTTATGCGAATTGCGTCGCATTTTGGCTCCCCTTTGTGGATCGATGCACAAACTGGAGGCGATGGCATGCGCGAATACGCACGAGTTTGTGTGCGACTGGATTTGGCTCAAAAACTGCAGCCAGGGACATGGATTAATGGGTGGAAGGCTAGATTCTACCAAAGGTTGGAATATGAAGGATTGGGAATATCCTGCTTTGGATGCGGGAGAATCGGACATCGGCAGGATAGCTGTCCTGCTCGGGGGGATGTGCGGGGAACTGGCCAGATTAGTACTCCCGCGGGGACATCGAAGGGCAAAGCTATCTTGGATAGTGGTGGATCCAGTGTAGCCTCTACGAGCAGAGCTCGACCTAATCTCCGGGAGCAGCCTGCGGAGGTGATTCCATCGGCCGGATCGGTGGAGGTGGGGGATCATCCCATTGATGGGGTGCCAACTGATCGGACCAATCTGGCCGAACAAACGACCCCTTATAACGGGCTACCAGTGAAGCCTGTTGCGGACAGTGAGGGGACGGAACTCACGGAGGATGAAAAACATTTTGGCGAGTGGAATATTGTTCCACCAAGGAAGAAAAAGATTGTGCAGCAAAAGAAAGCCCAAACTAGTGCTGAGGCTAAGCCTCTTCGGGAGAATCTTCCACGGCAGGTGATCTTCAAGGAGATTGGAGAGCCGTCGAGGACAACTAACAAGGAGAAACTTAAACCAAGTTGGCGTAAACTTGGGATCAAGGAGCCAACTCTCTTCTTGGCTGGGGTTGGCAGAGATAGACCGAAACTTGGAGCTTCAAAAGCTCATTTTGACAAGGAACTGCAAGCTCTTGGGCCCATTGAGGTGGGGCCTAAGAAAAGGTGCAATGAGAATTCTAGTGGCACGAGCGGCGGGGACGCTTCCCCTATAGGTGCCCAATGACTCACATCCTCATGTGGAATTGTAGGGGGTCCGTAAGAAGAATACGGGTCACTTCCTATGCCACCTCATTGCTTGCAATGAGGTTTTATTGATCGGTATTGTTGAAACCAAAGTGGAATCCTTTGGTCGGAATGATGTCGACCGGCTTGTTGGCCGGAGCTGGGATTTCTTCCACTTCCCTGCGGTGGGGAGATCGGGTGGCCTTCTGCTTTTATGGAGGGCGGAAATTGTTAAGTTTTCGGTTGAGGTGGCGACGGCTCAGTGCATTGGGGGGAGGCTGACCTTGCCATCATTTCAACAGTGGAACGTGTTTCTCATTTATGCCAATAAGGACTATCATGTCCGTCGCAGTCTATGGGAAACAAATTGATGGGGAATTGTGCTCTATACATCCCCAGTATTTTTTTTTTTATGGGGGGCGGCGATTTTAATGTTGCCTCTCGCAAGATGCGAATAAAAGAGTGCAAACAAGTTTACTTGCTCGGCTGGGGCGCAAGAAATGCTGAAGGCGTTGGCGCGGAATGACTTTCATGACTTAGGCTTCTTGGGCCCTATGTTCACCTGGTCCAATAATAAGGACGCCGCTAGCTGCATCTGGGTGTGGTTGGATAGGATTCTGATTAACTCGGAGGGGCTCGGGGCTGCGCCGTTGGCCGCGGTTAAGCATCTTCCTTGTTTTGCTTCTGACCACTGCCCCTTGTTACTTGAAATGGGCCTTAATACTTCTGTGCCTTGCTTCAAATGGATCCGATTTGAGGACGTCTGGATGAGCTACCCAGCTTCCTGGAAGATTGTGTTCGAGGCCTGGAACAAGGCGGATTTTGGCACTCCGGAGGAGACGGCGAACCGGAAATGTAGCAGAACCTTGCGGGCTATTTTTTATTGGAGCCGCAACCGTGTCCGTGATCTGGGAAAGCAGAAGGACCACCTTGAAGGGAAGATCAAAGCACTACAACTCATTGACTGTTCTGAGAAGGGGCTTACCCCCGAGCAGGATTCTGAGCTTCGGTCGACGGTTGGGGAATTCAGTGCGACTCTGGCCCGCTTGGCTACGTGGTGGCGACAACGTGCAAAGGTCCGTTGGATTGAGGAGGGCGATGCTAATTCGCACTTTTTCCATTCGATGGCCTCTGTGCGGCGACGGTCGAACCGGGTTGACGAGGTGAAATTGATAGATGGAGAGACTTCCAGGGATCCGCAGGTGATTCACGACGAGTTCTGGAATTTCTTTTCTTTGAAATGGAGGGCCTGCGAAACCCAAAGGGAAAGTTGGCCGACCTTTGAGCCAGATAAAATGCTGAACGAGCAGGCACGCAACTTACTAGACGCGAAGGTTTTGGAGGAGGAAATTAGGAGAGCGGTGTTCAGCATGGGGAACAATCGGGCTCCTGGCATTGATGGTATTACTTCCTCCTTCATGAAATTTTATTAGAATATTATTAGCAAAGATGTTTGTGCTGCTGTAAAAAACTTTTTTACTACTAACGAAATGTGTGAGACCTGGAAGGACACTTTGGTGATTCTCCTACCCAAGAGCTCATCGGCCAACAAGCCGTCCCTGTTCCGGCCAATTAGCCTTTGTCAAACCTTTTACAAGGTTGTGGCAAAGATTTTGGTTTTCCGTCTGAAGCCATTCCTTTCCAACCTTGTTGGGGAGGAGCAAGGAGCTTTTGTGCCCGGATGTTCTATTTCCAGCCATGGATTGCTTGCTCAGGAGATCCTTTGTAAGTTTCAGCATTCAACTAAGAGGGATGGATTAATGGCTATTAAAGTTGACATGGAGCAGGCATACGACTGTATGGCTTGGGACACGCTTCAGAAGGTTATGGAAGCAATGGGGTTCCCGACCAAACTTATTACGTGGATTTGACAGTGCACCACAAACCCACGGTTCTCCTTTGTACTCAATGGGAGTCGGTCCAATTGGATTCAGGCTTTAAGCGGATTTCGTCAAGGGTGCCCCCTTTCACCCTACTTATTCATCCTTTGTTCGGAATTATTGACCAAAGCTTTCCGCAATGGTGGCAACACGATGGGAGTGCAGCTGATTCCCAACGGGGAGAGGGTGTCTCACTTGCTTTACGCGGATGACATCTTGATCTTTGCCGAGGCATCCAGGGCTAATGCTCTGCAGATTATGAAAATTCTGGAGGATTATTGCCAGTGGACGGGACAACGGGTGCATAATACTAAGTCTGCTATTTTGTTTAATAAACAGTGCCCGAGGTGGAAATGCCGCAGGTTAGCCAAGCTTTTGGGTTATCGGCTGGTCGAGGCTTTAGATTACCTCGGTCTGCCCCTTATTCTGCGAAAACCAGTTGCTTCTGATTTTTCTAAGGTTCTGAGGAATGCGAATGACAAGATCAATGTTTGGGGGAAATGCCACTTGTCGTTGGCGGGCAGAGCTACTCTCATTCGGTCGGCACTTCAAGCTATCCCACTTTATTGCATGACTCTCTCTGGGGTGCCTAAAGGAATTCTCTCAGCTATTGACAAAATTGGGAGGCAGTTTTTTTGGAGGAAGGACGGAGGAAATAGGGGGCTCCATTATGTGGCCTGGGATGATCTATGTAAACCTGTGGCAAGTAGGGGACTGGGCTTTCACTCGGCTGCTTCTTGACAAGGACCGCTGCGTGCTCGACTTGCTTGGGACTTCTTACAGCACCCTCACTCGCTCTTAAATTGCCTGCTTATGGCTAAGTATGGAGATAATCTGTGGGCGGAATGCACCGGAAGAAGTACTTCGATATCTTGGTGGATTATTCAGGAAGGGGCCATGGCGATTCGGCCTATCCTGCGCTGGACGGTGGGGGACGGCAGGTGTATTGATTCTTTGCAAGATTCCTGGATCCTTGACAGGCGGTTGGAATGCTGGCCGACTTTCATTAATATGAATGATGATTTGGAGTGCAAAGTCAGTTTTTTCCTAGATGGTGATCAAGGGTGGAACCGAGCGGCTGTGCTAAACTCGTTTGGGGAAGTATTGGGTGGCAGAATTCTTGAGATTCTGGCTAGGGGTGATCTTACGAAGGATGTCCCAGAACTTGTCCAGGTTAATAGGGGTAAGTCGGTGGCTGCACTGGCTTATGCGGCTCGGATTGGGGATGAATGTTATCAGTTTGGGTGGCTTCGACTCCTCAAGTTGCATCCGAGGGAAAGGCTTTTTTGGTGGAGACTGGTGCGGGATGCTATCCCGATAAATGAGTGGCTGGCACGGAGGAACTTAGCCGACACCAACTTGTGTCCGTGGGGCTGTTCGGCTGTGGAAAGTCGGGATCATTGTGCGGTACAATGCCTGAAACTACAACAAGTTATGGGCTGCCTTGCCGATTGGGGATTCAGCATTCCTGAACCTAGCTCCTTTGATGAACTGCTCGGCTCGTTAAAGGGGTTGGCCCATCATAATCCCTCTCTCGGATGGATCCTTTGTTACACGGTGTACCAAACTTGGCGAGCGCGCAATGCGAAGAAGCATGACCGATCCTTTGGAACGCCCAAAATTATAGCGGCGACGGTCCTATCGCAAATTCCGAAATCATTCTGGTTGCCTCCTATGGAGTAGTGGTGCATCAATCAACCCCTTGGGTTGCTGGTTAATCTTTTATGGTGTACTCCCCCTCCTAATTGGCTAAAGGTGAATTTTGATGCTGCTTTGGTCCCATCAAATAGTGCTAGACTTGGCTTGGTGGTTCGTGATGATTACGGCAGATTGGTTGTGGCGTCGGGTAAGTTAATTGAACATTGGGATCCAACACAGGCTGAGCTGAAGGCTGCGTTGGCTTTTGCGGATTTGATTGAGGATTGGATGTTTGACCGTGAGGGTCTCATTGTGGAAGGGGATTGCTCGGAGGTGGTTAAATGGATGCAGAAAGTTTACTGGCCGGCTAGTGGTTTTCATAGGCGGGAGGTTGGACCGGACCTCACTTTCTTAAGTAAATTTCGGCAGGTGATCTTTCAGCATATTCCTTGGCTAAGCAATCGTCCTGCGGATTTCTGCGCCAAACAAGCTCTTGGGGGTGATGTTTTGTGGAATGATGTAAATTCTCCTTCTATCCCTTTTACCTTCCTTGAATTCTTAAGGGAGGAGAGTGATAGAGCTTAGTTTTTTGTTGTATCTTGTACTTGTTGTTTATGTTTCTTTCTTAATGCAAATGCAACTTTCAAGGAACCCAAAAACTTTGGATGTTCTTCACTTCTTTCCACTCCTTTCTCTCGCTAGAGTGTTTCCTAGTGTGAGAAGCTCTGGGCATGGCCGGGGGAGACAAGCGATCTCCTCCCCGCTCCGACGGGGGTAGCGGTGGTGACGGTTCGGGGGGTGGTGATAGGGATAGGAGGCGTTCGGGCATCGGGTCCGGTGGTGGCAATTAGTATGTGGAGGTTAAATCTCCGGCCAAGGCGGGATCGGGGAAGTCGGCGAGGAAGGCTGTAGCTGCTGCTAAGCCTTCGGGTAGTGAGGGTAGTGCTGGAGTGCGGGGGGCCAAGACGTTGGACGGCACCAGCATTGACCATGGAACCTTGCGTGGAGGGGTTGCACCGTCGGACGCGGCTGGTGGCTTGCTCGACGGGGCGGGAAGATTGGCGCGGGAGGCTAATCCGTTGGCGGGTGAAGATCTGCCGGCTGAGGATGGGAAAGCCGCAATGGATTTTGAGCTGGCAATGGATCGGGTAGCTGCGGCTGCTGATGCTGAAGCTGCGACGGCAGCAAGGAGAGCGGTGGCTCTTGAGCTGGCGTCGGATTGTGTTAGGTTGGCGGAGGCGGAGCGCCAGGCTGCGGAGATGGGGAAACCTAGGCTGGACGGACACGCCTACGGGGCGAACAATGCGGGGTCGGGTGATCTTGCTGGAAGTCGGGGCATGGATGCTGACATGTGTATGGAGGAGGAGATGACGAGTAGGGCAGGGGATGTCAATCCTGCTGTAGGCGTGAACCTCCAATTTTCTCTGGGCTGCGGTGGTAATCCTCCACCCGGACGCACGCCAGGTGTTTGTAGAATTGCCCCTGCTGGGCAGAAGTCTGCTGTGTTTGGTGAGCGGGCTGCCATTGCGGAGCCGGGTAGGCCGCCTAACACATGGAAGAAACCGAAACATATCCGAGTCACGGAGGAGGTGGTGCAGGGGGCCTTCTCCACGGATGGGATATCCATTAACTTGCACATGGACTTGGTGGAGAAAAGGATACATGCATTAGATAATGCGGTGGTAGGCAAAATTCTTGGCAAGAAATTGCCTTACTTTGTGCTATGTGTGGAAGTTAAGTGGCAATGGGGCCGTTTTGGAGACTATAACCTTACTACTATCGGGGCGGATTGTTTTGTTTGCCGTTTTCAATCGATTGAGGCTCGGGATGCTGTTCTATACGGAGGACCTTGGTTCTTCAATGGGAATATCGTGGGCCTTGACCAGTAGACTCCGAGATTCTCTCCCAATTCTATGGCGGGATTGACGTCACCGGTTTGGATTCGCTTGCCGCAGCTACCTCTGCAATATTGGGACACCCATAACGTCATGCGTATTGCCTCTCAGTTTGGGTCGCCGTTATGGATTGATGCCCAAACGGGGGGATAAGGAAGACGGGAATACGCCCGGGTGTGTGTAAGAATTGATTTGGCCAAGCAGTTACAAACCGGGACTTGGGTTAATGGTTGGCAAGGGCGTTTCTATCAGAGGGTGGAGTATGAGGGGTTGGGGCTATCTTGCTTTGGCTGCGGACGGGTTGGACACAAACAGGAGCAATGCCCCCAACAGAAGGAGCTGCGGGCTGAGGAGATTGCGGGGACACCCTTGATGTCATCCAAAGGAAAAGCTGCCACGGAGGGTGGCGGGTCCAGCGTGGCCTCTTCTAGCAAGCCGCGGGGAAGCCTGGTGGAGGCAAGTATAGGTGCTGTGACTCCGGCTGGAGTGAGCTCGAGTAGCCGCACCAATTGTTCGGGACAACAAATGGCTGGCATTGTGGAAGCGGGGAGTTCGGCTACACCCGAGAAAGATGAATTGAACAAGGACTCCGGGCGTGAACTTACAGAGGATGAGAAACTCTTTGGTGAGTGGAACCTTGTTCCACCACGGAGGAGGATGGGTGGCCAGCCTAAAAAGAGCCAAGGGGTGCCGGCTACTAAACCTCTTGGGGAAAATGGTCCACGGCAAGTGAACCTCAAAGAGGTGGGCGAACCATCGAAGAGCCGGAACAAGGAGAATTTCAAGCCAAGTTGGCGTAAGCTTGGAGTGATGGAACCAACGCTTTTCTCGGCTGGGGTGGGGCGTGATAGAACGCACCTTGGGGCATCCAAGGCCCACTTTCAGAAAGAGCTGCAAGCTCTCGGTCCTATTGAGACTGGGCCAAGGAAACGTCGCAAGGAGGGCGACAGTGGAACGAGCGGCGGGGACGCTTCCCCTATAGTTAATCAATGACTCAAATCATTATGTGGAATTGCAGGG